GGGCGAGCAAACCACGCTGGCTGGGGGAGGGGACGGGCATGCAATAAGCCGTGACCAGCGAGGGTCTGGAGGAGAGGGGCTGTGCATGCAAGTTAAACCACGTTTAGGGGAGGAGTTCGGAGGAGCCGCCTCCTCTGGTGGGAACAGCACTGAACACACGCCCTTTTCCTCTCGCCTAACTGCTCTCCCCGGGTCGGTTTCCTACTGGTGTTTCCCCCCTTTCCCTCCTTCCCCCCCCCGAGAGGGCTGATTTTAGGTCGTGGGGAGGAGGAAACCGTGGGTCATTTAGCTAAAGGGGCTGTGTGCTCCTCAGCGGTGAAGGAGGTAGGTTGTGGTGTTAGTGTCTTCAGTTAATAAGCAGCGATAGACCTGGAGCGTCTCGAGTTGCAGGGGAATCTTAACTATGTTGTTGAATCGCGGCAACTTTGAAAATCTACGGGATAGAGAACGTGTCATGTATCGGAAAGCTTACTGAGAGGGGAGGAGTGCATTCTTTTTTACTGTTCCCTGGAAAGTGCTCAGTGAACTTGTAATTTAAATTGTCTTTGTAGAAAAGGCGAGAGGTTTCAGAAGGTATTCCTTGAATGCTCTGACGTTTTTTCTTTCTCAAGATACTTTAAGAAACTGGTTGTACTTTTATTCCCAGTAAGCCTGACCTGGGATATGGATCCCAGGTGTTTTGAATCTTTTGGATTAATAAATATAAAATTAATTGCGACTATAAAAATTGCATATATACATTTATAGATGATAGCCTCCGTATTTAAGTAATATCTCTAATATGCAAGAGTTTAAAAAATGGTAACTAGGACAACTTTGCTAAATAGGGAGGATTGACACAGTGGTTAGTGAAACAATTCCTTTTTCATAACTCCTTTTTTGACCAATAGTGTATTCCTGCATGGAAAGGTAAGGGCAAATAAAGTTCAAATTTCCAGTGTTAGGGAAATGTCTCAGGTTCAAAAGGTGGATTAACAGGACAGGGAATACCCTGCTCTGAAGCATCAGGCTTTGGCCTTTTGCAAGGCAGGATGTTGGACTAGATGGACTAGCGGTCTGATCTTGAATAACAGTGCCTGTGTTCTGAAATACAGCGGTGATGTGACTTTGCTGCTCAGGGTGACACTTCAGTGTGCGTTCTGCTGGTGATTTAGTTGCCAGCACTGGAGTCTTGCTACAGGTAAGGAAAGTGTATCTTTAAAGTATAGCTTTTAAGGTTTCTTGTATTAAGTAACTCTCTGTAAGCAGCCATTTCTAAAAAATAGTAATAAAAAAAAATCTCTGTAAAATCCTGCAGTGTTGTGAAAGATCTGACTTGTCTTACCCTCCACTGACAGGCACTGGTCTACAGGAAAATTGAGTGCCAAAGTTCAGCAGGCTGTTAGTAGCAGAAAACCTTCTGGCACGTGTCGGGAATAGACCAAGCACTGTAGCTATATTTGATAGCCCTTTCAGGGGAAAAAAAATGTAAATATTCAGTGGCTGGTACATTATATTGTTCTACTAGATAGTAACTGGAGAACTTTTCTAATAGATTTAAATCCAAAACTTTTAAAATTGTATACTTTTTTTTTTCTGGATATCTTAGCTGGTAACATAGAAGTCGGGTGAAAGGTTCCTCATCAGAATAAGATTTAGTGTTGGAAAAGTTTTCCTCTAATCAGTGATCTTTGAATTAATTTATTATGACTGCTAGTTTCTAGTGAATATGCATACACTTAAGACAACCTAAAGTCCAACATATATCCCCAGTTTCCACTCTGTGGGTAGAAGACTACCTTAAGAGTGAGTCTTGTTGTTGATGTCAGTTTCTTAAAATTGTTAAGTAGTAATAAAGTCCTGGTATTTACAGTTTTCATGTGCCTGGCACTTAGAGCCAACTACTTTTTACACAATTAAACCTCTGGGTGGATAATGATGGTATCTGCACTGTTGTTACAAAATGGCAAGAAGTAAAAAGTAAAGGAACCTCCCGTTACTGAACCTCTGCATCTTGTGGCTAACTCTTCTGAAGTACTGCAAAGAGCATTTGGAGCTGGTGGCTACATTACCGTATCCCTATTTATTCTTGAATACAGATGAAATAAAACATTTTGAGCCACTGTTTTTATATACAGCATCAATTAATGTGTATTAAGTAAGAATTTTGACTTTAAATTTGATGGAGCTTGCTTCTGCTTTTCCTCACTGGTCACTTTCACTTGCTGGTACTCCTCTCCTGCATGCATTGCAAAATGAAACCATACGGGCAGGTATGGATATCGCAGGGTTTTTTTATTTGTTCAAAGTCAGTTATGAATTGATGTGTCTCAGTGCTTCAGGGCTTTACGTACTTAGTTCTTTATTAGTAGCTCTTGAATCCCAGTCTTGCATTGGCACTGCAGTGGAAGGGTGGTCCTTTGAAATTTTGCTTGCAGGAAAAAATATATTTGTCTATTAAATATAACTTGTCGTGTTGCCAGTGTTGTACCTGGACAATGTAAAGTATAAATATTGTGATTCTGGAAAACTTCCATGGGGTAGCAGGAAAGCAACACTTCCCTGGGGACTGGCATTTAACTTGAGTAATAATGTGTGGTAGTGTCCAGAGGTAAGCCATAGACACTTTCCAGATAAGAAAAAAGATATTGTCCTTGCTTTGAAAACTTTCGGTCTAAAGAAAAACAGAAAGCAAGGTAGAGGTACAGTGAAAATCAAAATACCAGGAACAACACAGGTTGCAGAATTTTTTTATTTTTTTTTCTTCCCTTGTGTGTATTTTGGGGTTTAGTTTTTTTCCCCCTGCTCTGCATCAGAACACTTCCATATTGTATCTTAAAATCTTCTCAATTGTAGTTAGGTTCAAATGGAGGATAGGCACAAAACTGCTTAAACTGTTGCTGCATAAATCATTTAATTGTTTTATGGAGTTTCAAGTCATGTGTATCCCTAAAAATTCTGCAGATACCATGAGCAGTGCCTAGTCTTACAGACGTTTGGAGTTACACCAAGTCCAGACCCAAACAATGACCTCTGTAATTGGGAACCTCTAGTCGGTGAGTCTTGTCTGAGTACAGTTGTGCCAATTTTTAAATAGACTAACACCATAGTGACGTGTTTTCGGTACATAACTGTCACTAGGCTTTGATGTTTCAACTTCTGATGCGTAATTCTAAGTGAATGTTCATTTAAGGCCTGAATCTAGCACTGCATACTTGTTTTGCACAACTTTGAAAATACCTATTAAAAATAAATATCCTGTCTATCTTTTTTTCTGTGTATAAAAAGGCACCAAAGGGGTGATTTTAATGGCAGTATTTATTGCTAATATGTTGACCTCCAATTGGGACACCTTTACCAGCTGGAATGAGAACCAGAAAGTGAAACTGACCACTTCTTTAGTGTGAAGAAAGGTCCATAACTTTTATCACAAATGCTTAGTTTGATGGTTATATTGGTTAAGTGCTATAGGTTTGGGTTTTTTGAGTTTGTTTGTTTTTTTTTAAAAAAAAAAAAGATAACTCTCAGCAACCATTTAGTCTGTCATTCATTTTACTTGCCAGCCTGGATGGGGCTTTGAGCAACCTGGTCTAGTGGGAGGTGTCCCTGCCCATGGCAGGGGGTTGGAACCAGACGATCTTTAAGGTCCCTCCCAACTCTATATGATCCTATGGTATTCTGTAAGAAGATAGGTTGTTACTTCTGCTGGTAATCATTTGACCTAAGTGTTCCTCTTCAGTGCATGATGACATCAGTTACTAGTTTTTTGAAGACTCCTTCTGGCATTGCTTTTCAGTACTATATGTGGGTTTTTTAAACTTGGATTTTATCTGTGGATTTTAATGCCCTAGGAAATATCTGGGGATCTAAGCATTCCCTTTAAAGACAAAAAAAAAAAAAGGCTTTCTAACTGATTGGTAGTTTTTATTGTGACATGTTAACTTATAAAGACTAAGCATTTAGGGACCTCGCTAGCTGAAGGTGGGGTATTACTATACAGTCCTTATTCAGCTGTATAGGCATTTAGTGATCCTTTAAAATGTTAATATTGCTTCTTGTCACTTCAAAATTTCAGTTTGGTAGGAATCAAGTATGGGTTGTAAGAATTCCTGTGCATTTCTGAATTATTACTAAATTACTTGAGTATTACTTTGCTAAGTAAGTGCTTTGGATGTAGCGTGTTGATGAGTTACTCCTTATTCCAGAAATATTGGACAGACAGCTGTTAGTAAAAACCATAGGCTATCAGGACTTCTTTCTCTAACTTTTCTCCCCAAATTCTTTCTCATATTCACACTTTAAGTGTTAAGCTGAATTAACAAGTAAGTTATCGTAAAATTTCAGTGTATATTTTGAACCAGATTGAACAATATCCATCCCAGATGTCTACTGGACTCTTCTTATGCTCAGCCTAAATGAATTTAAAAAATAGTTTATTTTTATGTCTGGTTGCTTCCCTTAACATCCTCTAGTCTTTGCTAGCGGCAAAGAGATACTCCTCATTGACAAAACCAGCAATATTTTTTCTGGCTCTTAATTTCAGTGAACTTACCTACTGTGTTTTTATCACCTTGTAGTAATGAAAGATGCATTCTCTCTTTGTAAACTTGTAGTTACTAAGCATTGCACATCAGTGCTGTTGTCAGTTCTAAAGAAAAGCATAAGTTGATTTAAATGGAGTGAATGATGTGTATAAAGTGAGGAGAATGGCAGATACCAGAGCAGTTTGCTTCTGCCCTTGCGAGATTCTTTGGTTCTGTTGGGAAGACTTGGAAGTTTCTGTCATCGGTAATACCAGTGTAGACAGTCTTTCATTCCTCTACCCTTCTCCTTGCCCTGCAAAATAACATAAAGTACGCCAAAGAGCCTTCTCTCTTGTTTTCTTCTGCCGTAGTGATTTTTTATTTTATATTTGATACAGCTATCACTGCTCCTGTTCACAAGGTAGTGAGAGCCTAGCAGGATTTACTTTCTCGCTGAAAAACATAGTGTACAGTGCTTAGAAGGAAGAAGGACATAGACAATGTTGTTCATAAATGTTTTATCTGACTGTGTTACATTTTCAGTACCTGATTTAATATGGTCTCTGACTGAAATGACCAAGATGAAGCTGTGTATGCCCAACTTACTACAAGGTGGCAAAATCACAATTTCTGTCTTACTTGTTGGATAAGTGATGTCAGAAACCCATTTTTACAAAGCTGCTAGAGTATGTGGCAATTCTACTTTTTTCCCCATTTACACTTTTAGGGGGGAAAAAACTCTAATACCAGATACTTACTAAATAAGCTGTTTGATTTGATGTTACTTTATTGTTCTTCAGATGCTCACCAGAATAAAATTAGTGAGGTGGGTCAGGAGGCAATCTTGAGGAAGACTGCCTGTTGGAACAGGACTTTAAGTGCCTGGATGGTACACCATAACGAGCCTTGCCAGTAGTTGTATTCCTAAATTGGTATTTTACCATATTCGGACTGTGAGTGAGCAGTGCTCTGTAGCGCATTGCTGTTGTACTTTGTTCCACTCACGCGTACTGTGAATCTTGGATGAGATTCAACCTGTAGAAATCTAATGACTGGTCTTGCCTTCCTTTTGTTTGCTGTTTTTTTTTTGTTGTTGATGGGTTGGTGGGTTTTTTTTGGAGTTTAAGAGGCTTGGTCTAGGGTTGGAATAAGATAATCATGCTCCTTCGTCTTTTGAAGGCTGCTGCTGTAAGCCATGAACAGAGGTATTTGTACAGAAGGGTGACTTATAATTCATTCAAATGGATCAACAGCCAGAAGGCAACAATGACTTTTGAGGTATCTTTCAACTATGCAGTCTTATCAGCAATGCATGATGTTAATCACAAAGTGCAGTTCGGTTATGGGAACTGAATGTGAAATTCAACAGTTGTGCTCTGTAGTGCAGGAGAGGAGAAGGGTATTGTGGGTCGTGTGCTGGATGGAGCTTGTGTTGGCCTCTCTTTGCATTGTAACAGCTCTCTGATGTCTTGTTAGAGCATCAAAGTCACTAATTGAGGAAGCTCCTGGAAGTCACTGGTGAAAAAATGCTTTAGAAACAGGGAACACATGGGAAAACAAAAATCTTGAGGAGAAGATACGGGAGCGTGATTATATTGTGCTGTGAGAGGCAGAAATGCAAAAAATACCAGTTAGGAAATGTTTATCTAATTCATGATAATATCCGTATACTTGTTTCATACCTGGAATCCTAGTCTTAAATATCACAGCTTTGAGACAGGGTGTTAGGGGGAGCTCTGGGTTAAAGTTCAGGCAGATGCATTCTTTAAATGCGTCTTTAATCTTGAGGTGCACCCACTGCTTTAAAACAGTGCTTTCACTAGTATAATGATATATAATGAGAGATACCTATATAGTTTTAATAATGAAAGAATCATGTAGCATAGGTTAAGATGACTGTTCCTCACTGCAGTCGTGAGCCATACGAGAGTGCTGCTTACCAAAAAGCACTTTAAAATTCTGAAAATATAATCCAGTCTATTATAATAGCCCCTTAGAAAAATGCTAGAATATACTGTGTGCTCATTTCTGTGTAGCTGAAGGTGTAGGTGGCTTATTTATGAGAGTTTTCTTGGGATGTTTTTGGGCTACAAATCCTGCACTGGAGGCAAGAAAGTGCCATATCCTTGTTACTTGTAGAAAGCTGTTGTGTCTCTGAGATTATGAATTGCTAATTTTATTTTATTTTTTTCCCCTGCTTTTTAACAGGAACAGGAAGGTGGTTGATTACTCCCAGTTTCAGGAATCAGATGATGCTGGTAAATTACTCTTTTTTTCCTTAACAATACAATATTCTTGGGCTAGAGCAGTTCATTTATTGATTTGCATATTAATTGTTTTGCTTCTAGTCACATCTTTAACTTAAATTCTAAGAAGTTTCTGTTCTTCACAGTCTCTGAACTGTTAATAAGTATTTGAAAATATAATGATTCTCATATGTTTTGTATTAAACAAACAATGGTGATAGAAATCTTATTATTTAATGCTTGTATTGTTGAAGTGCCTTGAGGCTGTTGGCAGCAACTGTCTTCTTCCTTGGTCTATGTTATGTTCTGTGGCAGAATCTCCCTGATGCCACTTTTTTTCTACAGTAAAATGTTTTCAATTTATTTTAGTGGACTCTAGTTAATCCCATAATGTCAGGCATATTTGTGAATTGCGTGGAAAAAAAAAATCTGTATGTTCTGTGTGAATTAACGAAATGTTTCTGGAGGCCATATGGAATATGTTTTGTGTTCTTAGAAAATAGACATACTGCTACTGTTTGCTGAGTGAGGTTGCACTGGTAATTAATGGAAACAAATATGCATAGTTCTTAATTGCAGTCCTGTTACTCATATTGTATAAAGTATTGTGTAATAGTTGTAAAAAGTTTTGCGGTAAAAAAATCTATATAATGGCATACTTTTTCCCATCATAAAAGAGTAAATAAAGCGTTTGCTGTTAAAAGCATGTATAATTGTATGGATGTTAACTTCTAACAGGTTTACATAATAACTCTGACTAGCTGTAAAATGAGATACTGTGTCCTCTTGTGAGGTTTTTTGTATGTTTCCTAGTAGTCCTGTCTCAGACTTGATTTTTTTGTGGCATTTTTATTGTGTTCTCGGCAGAAGAAAAGGTAGATTGCTAGTTTAAGGCAGGACTTTGCTTCTATAAAGTTTTGTTTGAAGCTTTGTGATTTTATTTTTTTTTTTTGAAGGGCTTCTTTTTGATGTGCATGAAATGGTCAGTTTAAGTTATAGCTGAGGAAGTCAGTTTGCTGGGAACTAGGAGTTTGATTCAAAAACCATTTTGTACTGTCCCGTCCAGATGAAGATTATGGAAGAGATTCAGGTCCCCCATCGAAGAAAATCCGTTCGTCTCCCCGGGAGGCTAAAAATAAGAGGCGATCTGGGAAGAATTCTCAGGAGGACAGGTAAAAGAAGTACTTCATTTGTTACAAACATGTCTCTAAACCTTGTCCTGTATGTGGGGAGCAGTATCTTACAAGAGGAATGATTGTAAGAGCGGAATTCAAGGCCAGCAGTGTAAGATACAGAGCTCTCAGTCACAAAGCTTGCATAACCAGCTTGGACATTGAGGTGGTTCTTTCTTATCCATGTAGACAGAGAAATCATGTGTAAAGCACTTGTCACTAGTACTTCGTCATTAAAATAGCTTTCACAACCTAGACAGTTGGAATGGGAAGGAATATGATCTGAATTACAAAAGCTGGCAACTAGTACAATTATCCAGGTAAGTTAGTGGCAAGATGCGTTTCATTTTCCATGTTTTTTTCGGTATGCTCAGAGCATTCCTGTGGTTAAAGATTAAATGGGATGGTACAGTGGCTGTTAGGAGTAGAGGCCATTTGTTAGTTTTGTGGTTCTTCCTTTCACATTTCCTGTTTTGTCTAATTCAGAAATAAAGTAATTTGTTTCGATAGCTGAGATGCTGCAGCAGTGTGAAGGGACTCAGTTCTAAGTGATGCCCTATTGCATAGTGAAAGTCTTTCCCGTAGAGTGAAGGTATCTTCCTTTTTACAATAACTATGGTCAGCAAATGATTGTCAAAAAACCCAGTAAGTCAGCTGACTGCTTTCATGACAGACATCAGCTTCAGGGATGGAGGTTCTGCCAGGTGGTTCTTACTTTATAAGCCCAAGGTGTCTCTTTTTTCTGTTGCACCATTTGCTGGAATATAGGTAATTTACCAGCAGGTATGCTTAAGAGGCTTCCCCATCACCCTCCTATTCTATAAGTTGAAAGCTGAATGTAGGCATGGGAGTATTTGCATGGTCCACTTGCTATCGTGAACTGAGAGGGAGAGACTATTTTCACCCTGGCAAACGCCTGTAGCATCTGAAATCAAAGATTTAATGGGTATGACATATAAAGAAATAGGGCTAGGCAACTCCCAAAGCAACTAAATAGTTGACCTTGATGTCTTATTAGCTTTGGAGATTTTTAAGTATGTAAAAAAAAAAAAAAAAACAAACAAAAAAAAACAAAAAAAAAAAAACAAACAAAAAAAAACAAAAACAACCAAACAAAAAAACCCCCCAAAACCTATTGTATTTAAGTGATTGAAATCCAAAAATATCTGTATATGACTGAAAACACATGGGCCTGAGGGGCTGTAATATGACAAGTTATCTAAAGTATTAAAGTTCTTGAGAAATGTTGTTTGTCAGCTCCCACTGCCAAATTTGAAAGTACCAAAGGTTTGATCTATTGTATTTCTTGACCTTGGCAAACTCTGCAGTGTAGCCATTCCTGAAGCATATGCTGTACATCAGTGGCCCTCAACAGAGTATTCCTGTTTAAAACGCTTGTTTATTCTGTGATTGGAGTGCATGTTCTCACATGCTGGAAGGAAAGTGCTCTCTGGACAGTGGTAATGACTAATGATGGGCTTTTGGATAAGAACAGAACGTTAGTACCTACTTGATAGGGATACCCTCTGATGAGGATTGAAACCACTAGAAGGGAGCAGTGAAACTCCATCAGGTCAGATCAGCTGGGAGACTGTAGACCAAATATGTTCTAGTTAAGTGCTGTGCAGCAATGTACACAGAAGGAAGGAGTCCAAAGAAAACACTGTCATAAAGACAAGTGATGACTATAAATCTATTCAGCATAAAACTTTATTCCAGTTATAGCCTCAGGCATGCATTAGCATGTAAAACTTCAAAATTCTAACTGTAAAATGGAAGACATCTGGATTATTGGTAGGTTTCAGAGGGAAGTACATGGTTCGTCTCATTTATTTCCTGGTTGGTTCATTTGATTCCATGTAAGTTTGTATGTGATACAGAGTTTGAACATTATCTTTCCAACCATGATAACTACATCTACAGCTGAGTAATGTCCAGGAGAAGTGCTCTCTGAAAATTGATATTTTCCATACGGCAGTGACTGAAATAAAAGCTAAAGCAGCAGTCAAACCCTGTCTTTCTCTCATTTTCAGTGAGGATTCAGAAGAAAAAGATGTGAAGACTAAAAAAGACGATTCACACTCAGCAGGTAACCAACTACACTGTACTGATAGTATATCTTCAAAATAACGACCGGTTTGTAACAGTTACAGGAGTGTGATCTGACACAGGAAAGAAACTGTTCTGACTAGAGCAGCATGCACTTTTCTAATACAGTTTTCTTAAGCTGGATGCTGCCTCTACTGCTGTTACTTCCAGCCCTGTTTTGGGATAACATATTTTGTTGTGTAATGTGATGCTGCTATGAAGTTTGTCTTCACGGGTAGATAGGCGTATATTAATCTCTTCCCTGTAGTTCTCGTCCATATTTCAGAATGATACAAGAAACTTCATATTCGTACCTTTTTCTTCCAGATGAAGATTTTGGCAGTGAAGATGATGACTTGGGAGCAGATGATGGCAAAGCTGACAGTGACTATGAGAGCTCTCAAAAAAGCAAAAAAGGAAAAAAGGCTAAACCAGAAAAGAATAAGAGAGCAGCCTCCAAATCCAGGAAAAGGCCTGCAGGTAAAAAAAAAAAAACAAAAAGGTTGCTAGTCTTTGCAGTGCAGGATACTGCACAAGATCACTGTTGGGCGACTACAGAAATGTGCTTATTAGGTTAAATGTGTCCGTGTTCTCCTCACAGCTCAGTTATTCAGCGAGCGTCTTGATTAACTTTCTCATGATTGACTTCACCTTTGTCTTGCCCATGTGCTATCTCAAGACGGTTACATGGTTTGTATTCTGTACCTTCATTATAACTTGGTAACTTTTGCTGCAGAGGACAGTGAGGACGAGAAAGAAGACCACAAAAACGTGCGTCAGCAACGACAGGCAGCATCCAAAGCAGCTTCTAAACAACGAGAGATGCTTATGGATGATGTGGGTAGTGAGGAGGAAGAACAAGAGGATGATGAGGCACAGTTCCAGGAGAGTGAGTAAATGGGATTGTAAAAAGTTAAAATCAATGTGACGGGGGTATAGTTCCAGATGTGAGTTTATGGGTCTGGCCAGACAGCAAAAGGAGCACAGGTTGCTTTTTGACTGTGACAGTGAAGACATAAGTTGTGCTTCTCAGCAATTTATTCGATACTGCATATCTGTCCAATGGACCACGCTTAAGTTTTTCACATCTATAATTTTTGTTTGAAGTTCGCAGCAAAGATCTATATATGTCTTTATAACCAGCCCTAAAGGATTATTTTAAAGATCTTAATGCTTTTTGCTGCTTCTTGCTATCCCATTGGTTTTGAGGCATTGATGCTACTTTCAGGTGATAGAAAAGTACTTTATCCTTGGTTGATCAAAGTAGGACAGTTTGTTTCATAAACTGGGTTCAGCTGGTAATGAATCGCAGTCGATTTGTGAAATACTGAGTGCAAACATGATTTCAGAATGGAGTAAGAGTGCCATGGAAAAGACCACTTCTCTCTATCAGGAGATTCTCTTTATTTTGAGATGGGTTACTTACTGAGGAGACGGAGCATATTTTGAGAACCTCAAAGCGCTTGCCTCTTTCATCATACTAGTGCTTTATCCCTACCAGTGTAAAATCTGCTGCTATGTCAAATTTCTTTAGCACAGCAGATAGGTGGAAGCTCATAAGGTTACAGAGTCCTAGTTTTCTGTCTCTGCAGTTTAACTGGCAGATCTCTCAGCTGTATCTTTTACTCCCTTTCCTTTTTTCAAAAAACTTAAATTTCTTTGTGCTTTCAGCAGATTCAGGAAGTGATGAAGACTTCCTCATGGAAGATGATGATGATAGTGATTATGGCAGTTCAAAAAAGAAAAATAAAAAGGTCTCTAAGAAATCCAAGCCAGAGAGGAAAGAAAAGAAAATGCCTAAGCCCAGGCTAAAGGCTACAGGTGAGTCTATGAGAAGTTACACAGTTTGCTTTAGAAGCTCCTATTTTCTTTTTCTACTGTAGAAGAGTTGGTGGAAATCTTGGGATTGGTAAGCATTCACTTGTGGTGTTGAAGGGCTAATTCATGTAACTTGCCATGATTTAAAGCAACACTATGAAATAATAAGGTGGCTTTAATTCTTACTTAAAAGATTGAGTTAGTATATATGTCTTGTTGGCAAAAACTGTAGTTTGCAAAACCTTCCCTGTTGAGGTGCTGCAGTCTGACTTTCTGTGTCACACAGCCAAATAATATAATTTGTGGCTTTGTTTGGGACTCGTGGACTTCATGATGTTTTCAGGGTGGAGGAAGATGGAGAAATTTGAACCAAAGGAAAATGTGATACATTTCTGCAGGAAGTCTAAAATCATAATAGTAATAGCAATGTACGTTAGTTTATTATGTCCTATCCATTAGTCAGGACTTGCAATTAAATAGTTTTTGAATCTTGTTAGGAAGCTTTTCGGTTCAGCTTTACTCATACGGAGTGCAAAGAACAAGGTGCATGTGGTATCATCAGAGCAAAATGAAACCTGCTGCTGGATTGTCTCATAAATCCTGTTTGTATAAAGCCATATGACTTTTTTTTGTCTGTGTTGCTGATCATAACTTCTATAAGCTTTTTCTTTTTCCAGTGACCCCCAGTCCAGTGAAAGGCAAAGGGAAGGCGGGCCGCCCCACAGCTTCCAAGGCCACAAAAGAAAAGACCCCATCCCCCAAAGAAGAAGATGAAGAGCCTGAAAGTCCCCCAGAAAAGAAAAAATCATCCAGCCCTCCACCAGAGAAGTCAGGGGATGAGGGATCTGAAGATGAAGCACCCTCTGGTGAAGATTAAATGGCAGTTGAGGAAATCTTTGTTTAAAAAAAAAAAAAGGAAAAAAAGAAAAAGGAAAAGAAAACATACTTAGGGGTAGAACACGGTTTTGGCTGTGGCTTGACTCATGGGCTTTGAATGCTGTCTTTACTTTCAGCTGTTTAATACAGTGTATCCTTTTTTTAATAAGAGGAAACCCTTATACAGTAATATTTTGAAGTCAATGTTCTCTGTTGGCCATTCCGTTCTCCCTCCCCCAACAAATCTGAAAGCCATTTGAGACAAATTAACAGACCATTTAAATATATATTTTTTTCAAGGGATACTGCAGTTGCGAAGCAATAAGGTTTGAGACTGATACGTGGAAACCATACTTACAAATCGTTAAGTAGAATAGATTTCCCAGTGCTGGTAAGAGTTCTTTAAGACTATTATTCTGTATTTGAATATGTGGAAAAAATGAACCTATGCTTTAACAGACTTCTGTTGATACGAGTTCACTTTCAGAAAAAATGTAGTTGATACGAATTCCAATTGAGGAAGAGGAAACATGGGGAGGAAACCTGTGTTTCTTGGATTCAGGCACATTTCTCATGGAAAGCAATCAAGAGACTTGTAGATGGTCTGCTGTCTTTTATTTAAAAAAGACCCTCTGATTAGGTTGTGAGATGTTTTGTCTTTGCTGGATAGAATACTATTCTGCTTTAGGCAAATTGCAGTTCATTCTATACAAATTCAGATAGACAACCTACAAGCTTCCCACATCCATTAACTTTATTTTATTTCTTCCAAGGTTGGCTCTAGGTGGGCAGAATAGGGAAGAGAAATTGAAAACAGTTTTTAAAACTCTGGTTTCCATTTGGTATTTTGGAAAATGTATTAAATTTTTTTCCAAGGAAAAAAAGACAATGGGTAGTGTGAAACTAAATTCTTTAGCTTTTGGGGCGAGGGACGTCCTTTTATAAATGTGAAGCAAATGATTCCTGTAATGCTCTGGTCAGTCTCGGATCCCATGAGTCACGCTTAAGTGTTTCTCTTCTCTCCCTCCATCTGTCCTCAGAAAGGCTAAGGTAGTCATACCTCTCAGCCTCTCCAGCTGCCGTGTTGGACAGCAGACTTCCATCGATACTGAACATCACCCCCGTACCACTTCCATTTCTTCATCCTTCCATCCTACAGCATGGGAGGCTTTGTTCCCCCATGAACATGTCTGCTTCTAACTGTTGGGCATCATTCTGCTCCCTAAGCCTAACAAGTGCTGAACAGGAAACAGTTACTAAAGGATGAAGCTGGGAGGAAGTGGAGTTTGGAAGCAGTGTAGCAGGGCTATCATTTTATAATAAAAGCAGGATGTCCTCCTAAAATGCAAGACACTTGAGGTGCGTGTGGTGGCATTTAAATGTGTTTTTATCAAAGCAGCCATATCCTTTTTTAAACTTTAATTAAAATCCCCAAGCCTTGATTTTTCAAACCCTAATACACAGGTTGCTGCCATGTTTGTTGGTGGAAATACTGAAAACTGGACCTGCCATTTTTCTTTCTTTTTTTTTTTTCTTAAACCCTTTGTGCTTTCTGTACGTTGCTCACAGTTATCTTAGAGCTGACAAGCTTTGCATTTTTTTGTCACAGAACTACACGTTTTGTAACCAGCCTCTTGAAGGTAACATAAGGCAGCTAATTAGTTGGATTTCTGGTGCACGTGCTACCAGATTTTTAATCCTGTTTGGATTTTAGAGAGCTTTTAGGTGTGATACACTAATATGACCAGGAAGGATGCTTGGCTGAATGGCATAGGGAGCCTGAAGATGCTGAGCACAGTGTGGAGCCTAAAATGTGGAAAATATTAATATAACAGCTGAGTGATTGTCTTGTGTGATTCATAGCCATGGATTTTATTGAGGCTGGTAAATTACTTTACCTTGGCTTATAAAAATTTAAGTTCTCTAACATTCTTTACTATAATGAAACTACTGTTGCCGTTACAATAAAGATGATCAGTGTTTCCATTGTAAATCTTTTTTTTTTTTTTTTTTTAAAGTGGTTTAATTTTGCAGAAGAGCTTAAGGCTGGAGTGAAGGATCAGTCTTGAAAAAGAAGCGAATGTAATCCCCTCTCCTCTCCCACACCTCTTCCCACCTTCCAGATCTCTGGGGAGAGCAGTCTCTTGCATTCCCTCCACTCCTAGTCGAGTGCTTCTTGGGTAATACAGGAAAATAAACAGCCAAGCTTTAGAAAACATTTGGATTAAACTTGGGGGTAGCATACGCTTTTGTGAATGTCTGGTCCACATAGTTGTTCCCCTTCAGTCCAGACTATGTTTCAAGCTATCCTTATCTATTGGGTTCTTAGGGCTTTTTTGGTATTACAAAATGTACAAGGATTACTTACAATGTAGAATACCTCTAGCTGATCGGGTCAAACAGCTGTTTCTTTACCTGCTAGACCAGATTTTTTTCTGAAGAGCGTATTTTTTAAGTTCCATTTAAAATATTTTTGTTTTTTTTTCTAACACAGTTAACTAAAGTTAAGGAAAAATGTTTCCATTGTTTTCAGTTCAGGTTTTGGACTGGGCTATTTCATGCCTGGCAATTTTTGCTCTTTAACTTAAAAAACTGTTCTGGTTTCTCATATGTTCTTCTTTAATGGCTGTTACAGGCTGCATGATGCTTATCTTTGAGTTTGTCACAACCCAAACACTATGTAAATCCTGTACTACTTTGGGGATTTTGTAACTTTTTCTATATCTTACCGTTTTGCTGATTTGTGCAAACACTAAGCCCTAACAGTCTGCTGGTTACTCTGTTAGAAATGCAACCGTTTACATTTTTACAGATAGAAGAAAATTATGAAGGTTAATACGTATATTCTTGGTTTTTTTAGTACACAGCATTTTTCAGTAATGGCAGACCTCACGTTTTTAAATGTCCTTTTTAATTAATTTGTATTAAGCATTCTGATTTCTTGAAGGAAAGCTGTAAAAATGCCTTTCTTTAGGAGAATGAATAGTTCTTCACAGAGCAGAAAGTTTCATTCACAGAAGGTGGCTTTGAAAAGATTGTCTTCTGTCACACAGCTGTAGTTTTGGAGCCTTTGCAGAGAGGTAAACGGATTTATTCCGAAGTTCAGTTAACCTAGTACCCTGCCCTGGTCTTACTCTTAAAATGATAGTTCATAACTATCTTCCATTATATATCCTTTTGTGCGTTCTGTTTCTGAATTCACACCACCACATTCAGTTTCGCAGTTCTGTGTCAATAGTACTGCCTTTAACTGGCCACAAGGCTTGACCAGTAAACATTACAATTTCGGTTGGAATTTCATACTGAAGATTATTTGATTCAGTTTCTGTTTGATCAGCATGAGAATGCCAAACATGTCAAGCGAAATGGGTTTCAGAATGGATTGTGGGTGAGAGCAAGATCTAGAAATGGGGCAGCCAAGAAGCTTTTAATTTTGTTTTCATTTCATCAAAGCAGAAGAGTGTGTGGGGAGAGAAGCAGCACACCTTGGGTGACTTCTGCTAGGGACCTTCACCGATGCCAGTAACGGTGCTGAGCCTGCTCAGCTCCTGTGCCACCACACGGCAGCATCTGCAGGTGATGGACTACCAGGGCAGTGGCAGAAGATGTGCTTGAATTCCTTTTTTTCTTTTTTCTTTTTTCTTTTTTTTTTTTTTCCTCCTCCAATTATGATGGTCACAAAGGTACAATAGACACTGAGGCACCCAGGTTAAGGAGGGAGGGAAGCAAACTGTAACATGCTGGAAGCTTTTGAGCTGTAGAAACTGGTGCTTTGCTTTATGTAATTTGTTTGTGAAGTGTTTATTTTTATAACAGATCATATTGTTGAACACATGGTTCTTAAAAACTACAAACTGATCCATGAGTTTAATATTTGAGAAGTGGATGTTCATCTGTTGGGGGAGGCAGGATGCAAAAACGTAAGCAGATGGATATTTAAAGGGACACTGTCACAAAATAGTTGCTGGTGTATAGGATATGTTAGTTTGGGGGACTCACATCTATATGTGGAAATTATATATTCTATATGTGTATGATCAAATAGAAAATTTTCCCTGAACTTTGAATATTTTCCTACAGTTTTGGGAGGTTTAAATACAAGTCTGCTAAAGAAACTAGGAAGGAAAAACTAACTATTGCGTTCTTACTGTCCAAGATGACTTTTTTTTTATTATTTTAACGTACTGTGAGGAGTATCAGAGCTCTGAAAGATGACAGTGTCCTTCCGAGACCTCCCCAAATCAAGTGTATCCTCGTTTTAGACTTCCCACTTCAGTAGATGACTGGCATTTGAATGTCTTTTCATTGAACTCTTTATATTAAAACACAAATATTTCTAAGTCTAGTCAAGTTCTCACCATGTGCTGACTCTGTGTATCAACCACTATTGGAAACGACTCTCTAGCCTGCCTGCCCCCTTCAGCCGCGGTGAATCGAGTGGGTCCATCGGCCTGCGCACGCTCAGTGTGACTGCAAACACCATTGTGCATATGCTTTGTATATTGGGGCAAGGGTTTTTTATATATATATTTTGGGAGGGGTAGTGGGTGGGATGGAGAAATACTCAATCAGCTTAAGCCAGAATAATGTGTGTAAAAGCCCCTGAAGTATTTTGTGTGTGAGTGCGCGGGTGTGAGTGCGCGCATGGGAGCGTCTGACATCTTATTCCCTTTGTGTTCTGAAGATTTGTGAGTTTAACTTTTTTTGTTTTCCTGCAGAAGCAATTGTTACAAAAAATTGTAAATAAGAGCTACATAATTTTTGTTTAGCCATGAACATCATGTCACAGCAAACCCTGAATAATCACTCTGAAGGTAGAGGAGGAGACTCCAGGTCGGGCCTTGAGCCCTTGGCCATCGGCAAGGCATCATTGTATGGTATGCAGTGAATATTTGTCTTGAGTATTTGCAATCCCCTGTTGAGCTTTTCTAAAAATCAGGCTCTTTGCAGTTCCCCTCCCCATCCCTTTTTAATTTTTTTAATTTTTTAATTTTTTATTTTTTTTTTTTAAACCTTGAGAGCAGACAGAAGAAGGGGCAGCTGCGAACTGTTGCAGCGCTGCTGGCCCGTGGTCGGGGTGTGCGTGCAGATGCGGCTGTCGTCCCTGGGCCCGACAGGGCTGGCGACTCTTGCAATACCTTGACAATACCGAGATCTACCGCATGGTACTAGGAGTTAAGTCTGAATGTAACATTAATGCTTTATTTAAAATAAAAACAACACCTTTTTTTTTTTTTATTTTAAAGGGTTGAAGTGAACATGACTGTTGACCATGTTCGTGAATTTATAGATGCAACATTCATTGGTAGAATTGTGTGATGGTCTTTTGTGCTACTTAATTTTACATATTCCAGTCTCTGTATGTACCTGCAAAGAAAGAAAGAAAAAAAAAATAACAACCCCCTGCTTTGCTTTTATTGAAGGGTTCCCAGGACTGCAT